CTTTGACATTGGAGCGTCAGTGTCCTTGCAATATCCGCTTTGTGCCAAATTGAAGCTTATTATACCAACCGTCAGTGGCATGAGCTCCAATTTCCGCTGCCCCTGCATGGCCAGATTTACCAAATACCAATCCCCACCTACCTGCCACGATAGTGCACTAAAAGTGACGCTTTTTATCAGAGAGAAGCCGAAACATTCGAGGTAGCTTTTACTTATGCCACATTTTCCGCTTCACAAGACACGGTTGCAACTCACCTGCAAGGAAAGAGAAACAGAAGAAAGAAAAACATCAGACAAAATAAGGATTCAGTTCGATTCGGTTCGGTAAGCGGGCGCGTGTTTTACATTTAAAGAGGCTGTTTTGCATTGCAATTGTTGTTATAAATTATGCTCCGGCATGACGGATGCGGATGGGTTCCGCACTGATGGGGCAAACAAAAAAATGGCAGCAATGAAACAGGAAACAGCAAACAGCAGACGGGAAAACGGTTAACGGTACCAAGAATCAGCAAGACGACCTATCGCTGGGAACAAGGTTTAAACATACAACATGACCATAATAAAATAAAAACATGTATGGGATTGTGTAAGGTTTAACTCGCAACACAATCGATAGTTCCGATCAATAGCTGACTAAGCTGATTGTATCGATTGTACGCTCTGCGATTTTTGCTATCGATGATTAAACATACTAGTCAAAAGTAATCGTAGTGATTTGTATACCCTAAGCCCACGGAAAATGGGTAAAAATCGTATTATGTATTTGTGCAAATGTATGTAACAGGCAGAAGAAAGCATCTCCGACCCCATAAATTATATATATGCTTGATCAGCATCAATAGCCATGTCCGTATGTCTGTCCGTCCGTTCGTAAGTATGAACGCAAGGATCTCAGAACCTGGAAGCTCCAAGTGCCCGCGCAGTACGAGTTTGTTTCCGATAATCGATAACTTGGCCCGTTTCCAAGCAATCGATAATTATCGATATTTCAATTCTGTTCTTTGAGCAAATCTCTTGGGCTTTAAGAGCTCGTCAGCAAATAGAATAGTACGTATATTCATTATATGTTATATACTTATTTTAAGAGGGTTCAGGGTATCCCATAGACGGGAACTATTACGACTATAGCCTCTTACGTGTTCTTTGATTAAATTAACCTTTTTCCTTTAAATTTACCTAGTATTGTGTACTTCAAACTATATATTTTATATAGCTCTCAAAGATAGTTGATAATAAAAGCTCATATGTAAATTACATAGCTTATTGGTGATACAAAATATATTCAATTCTATAATTTAAAACTAGTTTTGCTGACTGTTAAATAACACGGTTTTAATTAAATGCAATTATTAATATTTATTTCCTCTCTCATTACAAGCGCTTGAATATAAATTGCGTAAGAAAGCTGTTCATTGAATTGGAGAGGCATGCGAAAAGGAGATGCGTTCGCTAATTCTAGGCATAATTTAAAATTAAATAACAGGATCATCGTTTAGTTCATTTCACCCCCTCCCACCTGAATTAGCACGTGACGAGCCGACGGCGTGTTGAGAGCGTTAGGGAGTGCCCGGCAAAGATTTGAACACAACCCCCTTGGGCTGCAATGTGATTTTGTATACCTAAAAGTTAAGCAATTTATTATTAAGAAACTTTTACAAGCCCTCACGGCACAGAGAAAGTCGACCGCGCCTCAATTTAATTGCGGGGCTAGTCAGAAAAACATACAATATAATTTAATGGGCTAAACTTTGTATGAAAAATGAGCATATTAAGTGAAACAAAGCGAGAAAGTCCGTGCAAGGGTTAAGAGAATTATGAAAGCCCCTATAAGGTCTGTATATAAAAACTATTTCGCCAAACAAAAGACTGACTGACTGACAAAATGATTGATTGATGAACAACGCACAGACTGAACCGTACGAGCTAGGAAGCTAATGCACGGCAAGACGGATTCTACAAAATTCCACACTTAAGAGTGGAAAATGAATGGAAAACGATTGCGTGAAACATTTTGGTTGTCATCAGATCGGTTTAAGTGCCCTTTTTAAAAGTACACATTTTAAAACATTCCAACCGCAATAAAGGGATAATTTATCATACGATTCGCTTCCAGACAATTTTCATTTTTATATTAACATTTTGCGTAAAATTATTGGAGATTTCGTTTCACGTTTTTCGAAAAATCCACCCTATTGCGTTGGAAATGGTCCAAGTGTATGAACTAAAGTTCCAATTTGGTTCAATCAAATTTAGAGAACTTTTTGCAAAGTTGTATATAAAAATTTGCCAGGTCGGACAAAGGTTGGAAAACTAACCTATGAAATTATTTTGTTTTTCACACGGTCAGCTTTAAACCCAAAGATCTATGAAAAGGTTCAATGTATCGCATCTTTCAAGAACCTCTCGAACTACATAAAACTTGGCAATCAACGGTTAAGCTGAGAGCCTTGAAGATTGAAGACAGTTTTGAACGGATATGAGGTACTAGATGCACCCCATTTTCCGCATAAGAAATACACAAAAGTTGTGAAAGAAAATTTGCATGAAATATTATTGCAACGCGAAATCGAACTTGTGGAACTCAAGGAATTTAATTGTGCAACTGAACTATTGGGAACAATCTAAGTAAGGAAAGGGTAAGCGTTAAAATTAGTGCGCGTACATTAATAAATAACCCATCAAAAATTCATCAGTTTAATTTGTTTGTGTATCTTCTCCCTCTTAACACAACAAATAACAACAACAGCAACAACAAAAAAAGCAGCAGCCGCACAGCCATGCATTAAAACAAAAATTCAAGTAATTAATTTCACACGGAATAAGTTTGCAAAGTTAATTGGCTTAGCGTTGGCTTTTGACTGACTGACTGCCTGGCTGCCTGGCTGGCAGTCGGATCGGTTAGGGGGGTCGCGGGGGCTGGGCGAAGGCAACAGTACGGTTCGCAGCGTTAAGCTTTTTCGCATTAAACATTCAACAAAATGCACTCGCCTCCGCCTCGCCCCTCTCGCTGCACTTAACTTTGCATTTGCAATTGCATTCGCAGCAGCAAAAGCTTGAGTCTGAACTTTGCCATGGCGCCAACAAAGAGCAGCAGAGAGCCAAGAGGGAGAGCGAGAGAGAGAGAGAAAGAAAGAAAGAGAGAGAGAGAGAGAGAGAGAGAGAGAGAGAGAGAGAGAGAGAGAGAGAGAGCGAGATGGTTGAATAGAGAGATGTAACTTTCTCGCAGCAATCGCATTAGGAGCTTTGGAAAAATTTGCGATTTAAGAGAGATTTTGTGGTCGTGCAACTAGAATGCAATTGACATTTGTTTTGTTTTTTTGTGTGTGTTTTTTTTTTTTAGCTTTTTGCTTATTTGTTTTCCAATTTACTTTTTGCCAAGTGTCATTAAAACTATGTTAATTATTGTAATCAGCCACCAAGATGAGGAGAGCGAGAGCGAGAGCCAGGGAGGCTCGTATATCATTTATAGAGTGGTAATTTATTTTTGCTGTTGATTCAGTAATTGACAGCCTGAAGTGCAATTACGCTGTGCAAAACTTTTTAGTAAAATGATTCCAATGAACTGGTTCTCTGGCGCTGTCCGGTGTCCGGCGGAGGTGGGATATGGTAGGGGGGAGTGCGTGAACCGTTTGAGAATTGCATAGCTGTTCTCGATCAGCGATCGGTTCAAAGCACTTGCAAGCCCGATTGCATTTGTTTTCAACTTTTATTTTATTTACTAATAAATATGCAATGCATATATAAATATCAAATGGGTATAATGTTTAGTTTATTGAGTTGTTAGACAACAAATAGGCAAGAAAGTATGCTCACAAAGATTAAATACTTTTTAAACAGGCTAAATTACACATATGTACGATATATGAATCTGAGCCGCGATGTTTTTGGCGCAACCTAATTTTCTGATTTTCCTATGCGAACTTCATAAATGAGAAACTTTTATGGGTAGGTCAGATCAAGTTTCCTAAAGCTCTTCAATTTTTACTGTTCTCAAGTTTCGCCAAAATTTGTGCAATATTTTATAATTTGTGAACAGTTGATTTGGTTAAGATATAGATCATTTTATATTTCTAACATAATTTAAAAGGAAACTTGACTTCTAAAAGATTTTTAAAATTGTTTTATTTTTTTTCTATAATAATATCACCCAAATCGGCTATACAGAAGTTCGCCTATTATGCATATATCTATATAAATGTGGCAAGAGAATGTGCATTTTTATAAGGAAACATTCCCTAAGATGTCTAGGGGTTAATATTCATACAAAAAACATGATCTATGCATCGGAAAAATCTTAGGGAATGTTCACCTTTCAAAAATCAATATTCTTTTGTAATATATATTGTTTTTTAATGCATGTGGGAAATACAAATCTCAAGATCTGCTTTTAAGAATCCAGTGTCGGACCGCAACTAGCCCCATAGTGTAACAAGTTGTTCGCTGTTTGAACATTGTGAACAGAGTATTGCGCAGTCGGTTGCATGCGACTGTAACGATCTAGCTCAGTTACGTTTTGTCACGACTATTTAACAAATAAAACGATTTGATACAACAAGTCGGCTAAAACTTTGCTAACTTGTTTAAGAACTGCCGTTTTGTGCCGTTACTCTATAATGACTGTACATTAGCTAAGCCATAAACGTTTAACACAAATAATTTAAATGCTTATATGCAGCTGGAAATATTTGCTTATATGTAGAATATGGTTCTGTAGTTTATCGCGTTCGCTGCTGCTGAATTGTTGCTGCTGTTGTTGTTGTTGTTGACGTGACAATGCATTGGTGATGATTAGCGATGCAACAACAACAACAACAACAACAACACAACAACAGCAATAACAGCGACAAACAACAATAACGCGAGTCAAACAAAGGGCGCATCAGAAAAATTGAAAATTAAAATTGCCGGCAAATCAACGAACAATGCTAAATGGAAGCTATAGATAGTAAATCTTCCCCGGAGGGGGCGTGCCATATGACGGAGGCGGACTTTGACATTACCTGTTTGACGTGTGCACGGCGCTCAAATTGAATGCCCGCCGGATTATGATCGGCAATGCCCAAGACGAGAGTTGTGCCAGCTGTTGTTGTTGTTGTTGTTGTTGTCTCATTGTTGTTGGGTCTCATTGTTGTTGCTGCTGTTGTTGTAGTTGCAGTTGTTGTAGTCGGTGTCTGTGTTGCAGCTGGCGCTGCTGCTGGCAGAGATATAGAATCAACATTGCCCTCCATGAGCGCATCCGCTGCCTGCAGCATATGCGGCATGGGCATTAAGCTGGCGGCGCCACTGTCGTTGATGTTGCCGCTGCTGCTGCTGCTGCTGCTGCCGCTGTTGCTTCGTAAACCGATCTCGATAACAATCTTGTTGGGCTGCGCTGACTGCTGATGCTGCTGTTGGGGCTGCGCTGTCGCTAGGAAACGCTGTAGATTCTTTGGATGCGTTGCCGCTGATATGTAGTTCAGATCGCTTTTGGACAAATGATGCTGCTGCAATGTCGAGTACTGCTGCTCAACGAGCGCGGCGCGTGTCTGGGCAGCCTGATGGCCGCCATTGGCCGCCGCCGAGTCGCTGGCGACCTTTTCTCGCAATTTAACGATATTCGATATGTTAATGCTGTTGGTTAGGGTAATGCCTGTAATGCAGACCAGCACGATGGTCAGCAAGACGCCGCAGATGACTAACGTGGGCATGCGGAAACATTTTCGGCTGCACATTTTGTCTGAGCACACACTCTGTAGCTATAATTGAAGTTTATCGTTTATCGATTGACTGTTATCGTTATTTTTATCGCCGAAAACACATGCGATATGTGTCTGGTTTTTTTTTTTTTTTTTTTTAGTTAAGCACAGTTTTTTTTTTTTTTTTTTGTTTGTTTTGTTGTCTTTTGTTATTCGCACTTTGGCCCCGTCGCCTGCGATCGCATTTGGCTTGACTCGGCTCGGCTGGGGCTTGACTTTGGTTTTAAGTTCGCTTCGCTTTGATTCGCTTTCGCTCTCTGCCGCCCGCGGTCGTCAACGTCTGCTGCGTTGCGCTGCTGAAACTCGAATGCAACTGCAGCGGCGCTGCTGAACTCTGCGCATTGCTTTGACACCGTTTCGCTCTTCGCTGCTCCAGCGTGCGCGCTCTCTTGCTCTCGCTATCGCACTAGCTCTTGCTCTCTATTGCGATAGCTTCAGCTGCTGCACGTTCACCTTGGCGCCGGCGCTGCTGCTGCCGGTGGCGTTGGCGTTGGCGTTGGCCGCACAGCCGTCGCAGCTGCGCGCTGCGCCAAGTAAGCTTGCATGACGTTACTGTTGTTGTTGTTGTTCTTCTTCTTCTTCTTCTTGCCTTTTTTTTCCTTCTTGTTGTTGTTGTTTTCGATTATATTTAGCTGTTGGTATTGTTATTGTCTTTGTAATTAGTTCGTTTATGCTTTGCACAGCGGCGCATTGACTTTGCCTTTTGTCTTCTGTATTGTTGTTGTTTTTTTTTTTTTTAGTTGCTTCTCCTGCCAAAGGCAGCAAACAAAGCGAAATGCGCAAAAAGTAAGGTAATAAATAAAACATACATAAAACGACCACAACAAAAAGGAGCCAAAATATCGTTTGGCTTGCCGACTGCGTTTCGGGGTGCGCCAAAGGAATTCAAATTATTGTTCGACGAACATTTGAATGCCCTGCCATAAAAAGCTCTCATCTCAAAATATCCCAACTCAGCTTTAAGCACTGTGTGCATCAAGCTCACGTCAATCGTACATATATCAAGTATATTACATGCAAACTAATTAATCAGTGATTGCACACTAATTAAAATGCCTTTAGTATGTTGCATTGAAAATGTAATCCCTTAATTCCCGAAACGCGCACTTGCCGCACATACTTCGAGTTGGGCCGCGCAGTTGATTTCCAAAATAGAAGTAGTCGACTCATGAGTAGTCGACTGGCAGGTACCCTGTATGACTCAAATCGGTTTCTTTCTAACCCAAATACAAAAGTAAAGCTGTTTCTATTTACTGAGCAAACTGTAAATGCTGATAAGCTGTAAATTTCACAGTTGTTCTCTTTTGGTAGAACTTTGGCTGATTGAATCTTAACTTATTCCCAGTGCTTAGTCCTTGGGATGACAATAGCACTTCAAGGTTAAGTTTCCCCGATCGATATACAAGGGGTTCTGTAGAAAAAACTTATTAATTTGGAGTATCCACTTTTAGGTATGGAAAATGAGTAGAAAACAAAATTTCAGATACGCTCTTTATCCGGATAGAATCTCATCGGAAAGCAATGCCTGGATCTTTGTTAAGCTTATCGTTTTGTAATATCTTATTTAAATAATAGTTTTACCTATGACATACATGACCATCAATTGTTTGGGTACAGGGTATACAAGCACCCAAAACATGTTTGACCACTATTGAAGGGCTCCTTCTTTCAAATTAATTAAACAACGAAGACGCAGCTTCATTAATTGAAATAAATAGAAAAACTGAAGATTGCGACACAAGCCGGGCGAGTAGAACGTGAGAAAACTGGGTGAAGTGGGTGCGTGTATGGAATGGGATAGAAGGGGGGTGGGTTAACGGGGAAGCCGAGGGAGCTATGTTTTTATTGCTCGTCGATGTCGTTCGCTCGAAAATATTTCGCCTAGGCAACAGGCGTTAATATTCAATTAAGCGAAATTCTTTGCGTTATGTGTGTGTGTGTGTGTGTGTGTGTGTGTGTGTGTGTGTGTGTGTGTGTGTGTGTGTGTGTGTGTGTGTGTGTGTGTGTGTGTGTGTGTGTGTGTGTGTGTGTGTGTGTGTGTGTGTGTGTGTGTGTGTGTGTGTGTGTGTGTGTGTGTGTGTGTGTGTGTGTGTGTGTGTGTGTGTGTGTGTGTGTGTGTGTGTGTGTAAGTGTGAGTGCGTGCGAGTATGTCTGTGTTGTGGTTGGAATGATACATTCGTGCGTGTGGAAGCGTGTCAAAGCTCTCGCATGCCGCTCAATTAAATCCCCAAGTATGCCCCAACCACAAATATTGCCGAAAGCCGCATGAATCCGACTTCAATTCCACAACTGAGGCTTTCGGGCGGAGACAAGAAGCGAGCCCAAGCGCGTGTGCTGATCCCATGAAAATAAAATGAACGCTGAGCCAGAACAAAAGACTGAAGAAGGTGAAGGTCACGGATTTGCAAAAGTTGGATAAATTGTATTCCGTTTATACAACAGCGCAGCCAGTTGATAGGAAGACACGCAAAAAAAAAACGAAAAAGAAAAAGTTATTACTTACGTATATTCAAGAACTTATCACAAAAATAAAATGTATTTTCCAGACACAATAATGCATATTATATCAAGAGAAAAAGCTGATATCTTTGACCAGAACAAGATGCCAATAGAAAGTGCTTCCTGGATATCTTATTTGAATTAGCTCCTAAACATTTTTAATTATATTGAATCAATAATAAATAAATATATTTTCATTTAAAATGTTTCGCATTCTAAATGTCCGAAATTCCACAAACCAGTTTTAGTGCTTGTGTTTATACTAGAAGAGAGCACCTGTCAAAATGTCAGCATGCTAGCACCTGCCATTAAAGCTGTCAGGACCAACTGTTATATATATATATAAATGCACACTGTCTGTATATATAAAGTAATTCACAGCCCAGTGTGGAAATTGGGTGAAAAACTGTTGCACAAAAAATGCTTTTTTCATCGATACGAATCTGTCTGTTTTATCTATCCAAGACACACATTTTGCCACATTACAATATTATTTTTCAATGCTGCTTGTAAATGGCAGAGCTTTAGCACAAGTAGAACACAAAGAGTTTTGAGCTTAAGTACTTTTAAGAAGCATTTAAATCATTCTCTGATTATTCTCTCATATATATACATATGCATATACTCATGCACATCTGAACCATTTAATTTGACAATGCATGATAGAGCTGAAAGGCTCTCAGATTGAAGTACATATGAATATAATCATCATATCAGACCCTCCCGTTGAACATGCTGCTTCGACTGAGACGCGGCTTTGTGCGGCGGGCATGAAAGTTGCGCTCGTCTTTTAAGTAATTATTTTCAACAGCTTTTCGCTGGCGCAGCTCAAGGCGACAGACCAGCAAACAGATTGCATTACAAGACATAAATTCCAAGCAACCACGAGATGCCCATTCGCTGACTTGACAACAGCAACCAGAAAAGTAGAAGAATACGTTGTTGTGCATTTAAGCTGAGGCAGTGTGTATGTGTGTATGAGTGTGTGTGTGGATGGCAGCTTTATTAAATTAACGCAAGTAAATTGCAATTTTGCATAGCACACTTTTCTGCGTCCGCCATTTAATGGCGACGCTGCAGCAATTTCTCAGCGAAATACCCAGAGGACAATTCCAAGCCTTAAATTACTTCGGTAAAAGTTTTCTTAAGCTGCAAATATTCTCAGTCACTAATTTTTAGACCATTAATAATTTTGATTTTAGCCAGATTTATTTCCGTGCTTATGAACTAAACTGGGCGTGTTATCAAGTTAAATTGATAATAATAAAAAAGTTTTTAAGGAACTACTAAATATCTCTATGAAAGAACTACGAGAATTGTTTCCAACTCTATCAAAAAATAAAAAAAGCATTTTCAGTAAAACAACAAGTTGAAAGTGATTTATCAACAAAACCAATTTGGCTTATTATTTGAGATTTTATTTAAAAACTTTTTCCTCTGCTACTAACGTTGTTTTTTTTTTCTTTTTTTCCGAGTGCAAAAGAAAATGTTTCTTTCATTGCCGAAGATACAAAAGATAATCAAACAAAGGAACCCACACTCCAGGCTGTAACAAATGTGCCCTTTGGCAAAGGCAAACACAAAAATGTGGCTTAGCTTTCGTGTTTGGCCGACGACTGACGACTGTCAACAGGGCTGACATATCACATGCACGTTAGATTATTATTAATTATTTAATAATTAACTAACTGATGTCTCTTTCATTAGCGGCAACAAAGCAAACAGATGAGCTACAACCAACCACTAGACGCAGACCAAGTTTGTCAATAAATATTTATAAATCCTGTCCGTCATTGATGTCATTAATTATACGAAGTGAGCAGCAGCCAGTGCTAAAAAGAATGAAACAACAATTTCAACATTGACAACTTTATATTCGCAATTTCTTGCTCAGTGAACTCTAATTTACGACCTCTTTAACTCGGAACACATTAATTCAAATGTATTTTCAAATTTTACTTTTAGAAATTCAAAGGTTTTTTTAACATTGTCATTGACATTCCTTATATGCTTGCAAAAGGCATCTTGATTGTCGGGCACACTATGTAACGTTCTTCTATAATACATTTTTTTTCAGGATATCCCGAACAGACTCATCTATATTGCACTATATCCTGTCGTGCATATCTGTTTCAAATCGAGCTAATGTAGAATATATATGTAGAATATCTCACATTCAAACTGTTGAGAAATTAACAATATTATTTCAGGTTGAAGGTGCCACGAAATTGTGTTGCTTTAATTAAGTGCCAGGAATCCAAATTAATGCAAGCACAACACTTACTATTTAATAAACTAAAAGCTTAATCATTGTTGATATTAAGTATCTCAAAATGAGTTCAGCCTTTCACGCATTACTTAGAATCTGTAAGCTAATTGCGTCCATATAGAAATGGAGGAGACAATATTTATGCACGGCAATTTTGCTTGACATTTTGTTGCTATTCGTGTTGGGCGTATTGACAGCATCTGAAGCCTCATTATAATTATTATGCTTGATGCTGTGTGGATGCCGCAGCTCTCGAGAAACTGTGTCAGCCGCCTAAGATTGCGGCCAAGTGCAACACCCAAAGGGCTTTTGTTAGAGGCAACGTGAAGCTCCACTAATTAGAGCTATATATTAAGCATAAGGCTATTTCCATAGCTATGTTTATGTTGCGTTGGTTTCAGAGCAATTCGAAGCGCTGATATTTGTATTCGCCCTGGCATTTGTATTCGCATTTGGATTCTCAAGCAGGGACTGCAAATAGCCAAGGACGTGTCGTGAGTGTGCAGCCTTGGATGTAAATCAGCGCACCAAAAATGGGAAACATCTGCTAAACACAAGCCAAAAGCGGCCCTAAGCCTAAACGGAACCGATGCAGCCGCTACAGACGAGGCCAAAATGAAATGCCAACGAATTTCCACGGCCAAACTACAAAATGGCTAAAAAAAAAAATGCGTTCAGGCGGCAGCAGCAGCAGCTACTGCCAAATGAAACACAAGGAACGTGATAAAGATGGCAAAAAAAAAAAAAAAAACAGAAACTAGTAAGAGTTATTTAAGGGCCTTGATAATGTATAATAAGACCAACTTTTCTTATCTTCTCTTGTCCCTGTTAAAGTGCCTGTTGAAAAT